AAGGCCCCGTGTTTTAAGGACGACGAACAATGCCACTGGCACCGTATACGTTTTGGATGTGAAGCAGCACTCTGAAGATTCAAATTTTCCCAACGCAGCTGTGACCTGTCTTCTGGGTTCTGCCCGAGGCATGAATCCTAAAGCAGGGGAATCTGATGAGCCACGAGGCAAACTCGCCAAGCACGTGGCCGGAGTCCTCGTGAAAATTCTCTACGCTGCACTCATTGCGAGATTTGACTTACTCCGTACAATCAACCGCCTGGCCCGCCGCATCACAAAGTGGACAGAGGAGGATCAGGCTCCATTATTTAGGCTTGTGGCCTTTACACAACATTCAAAGAAGGACAAGATGATTGGTGGGGTTGGTGATGATATGTCATGGATTACCTGCTATGGATTTGTGGAATATCTTAACTTCTGATAAGGCAGAGTCGCGGCTCTACGAGAATCAAAGCACGATTGCCGTGGTTAGGAGCGGCCGGAACCCAACCATGCGTTATCTAGAGAGAACTCATGGAGTATCTGTCGCTTGGTGACATGAGGTATTCCAGGCTGATCATATTGCATTGGTCTATGAAATCACTGGCAAGATGGCAGCTGATATCTACACAAAGGGGTATGACAATGGAAGAAACTGGAAATCAGTCACTGCTCTCATCACCATTTTGACTCCTAAGTTTCTGAGGTCACCTCAGGCCCCTGAGTTGTCGAGGTCTACTGATAATCTGTCTTGTCAGAGACTTCCGACTGTGTCTGAATCAGCTGTACCAAATTCGAACTCCCATCCTCCCACCCGAGCTTTATGTTCAAGGAGGATCAGGCAAGCCAGGTTCGCATGATCATGAGAGAGGACGCTTTCTTGTGCTAAAAGAACCTAAGATGATGCGAGCCGCTGAGGCGGGATTGTTGCGGTCCTCCTGGTTCTTCCCTCCAGCCTGGTGTAACTGCACGGTTTTGAAGGGTCGTAGGAGCTGAATTTCGCTGACNNCCAGGCTGCCGGACGCCATTTTATGCCCATATTCGCAGTGTTTTGGGGCTGGGCAGCTTAGCACCATGGGTGACCTTTCTGGCATCCATCCCCCGACCATACTCTGGTTCGTGCTTCGAGAGCATACAAACCATAATAAAGTTGGTGTTCCT